GTTCTCTAAGTATCTTTTGCTTGGAGCACAAAGAAATCCAAATCTCTAGAAAAAAATGTATCTGATTAACAAAGTCAAAAATTTAGATTGTCCTAGAACTAGAGCCAATTTCCCCTTTGAAAACTTTTCAAAAGACTGTTTGATTTTGGAAATCCTGAGATAACATTTACTGGAAGTCCCAGAATGAAACATAACTGCTATCTCTTTTTCTGTTAAGGGAAATACACGGATTGTGCCTTACAAATTTTTATGCTAATTCTTTGAAGATAATGGCAAAATTAATTTTTTTCTGGAGGACTGTCATGCCATTATTTCCTTTAAAGTAAACCTGTTTTGTTTTGTGTTTGCTTCTTTCTTTTACTCTTTACGGAAAACCTGGCTTTTGGCTCTGTCTCTGTGACCTTTAGTTACCCTGCAGCATTTCCTTCTCCAACCATAAAGGTATCATTTCACAAAGCTCTTGTATCACACATGCAGCGTTATAACAAAACAGATGTTTTTCTCTTTTGAAAGGTCTGTTTTGAGGATCAATATTTCAGCCGCCACAACCTGGATTCATTCCAAATATTTAAAAATGGTGGGGACAACAATTTTCTTTCAAGATAAGCAAGACTGGTTTTTTCAATTTATTTTATCTACAGTGGTACTTCAGTTTACTAATGCCTTGGTTAATGTAATTCTTGGTTTACGAAGCAAAATCCATTGAAAATAATGCCTCGAAGAAAGCTTCCCCAGGAAGCATTGTGCCTCGAGGTTTGTAGTGCCACCCCCGTTCCTATGGCAATCCGCAAGTTGGTTTATGGATTTTCCACATTACATAACGTCCCGTAGAACGCATTAAATTCGTAAACCGCGGTATGCCTATATTTTTGTAAGGAGGGTTGCTACTTTTTTTCCTTCCCAAAGCCTAATAAAGACCTAACAGACCCAAGTTCATATAGACCTATTTCACTATTAAATCAAGATGCAAAGATATTTACTGCAAAACTTGCAAATAGAATTAATAAATTTATTACAAAAGATATTAAAGAGGATCAGAATGGTTCTGTGGAGCTGAGAATGAAAAGGTTGAAGTTAAAAGCTCTGCAGAAAATGTGGGCCTTGTGGAAAGATGTGAAAAGGAAAGAAAAGTGACACTGAAGAGGAATTTGAGAAAAACAAAGAAAAGTGAGTACAGTGGTGCCCTGCATAGCGACGATAATCCGTTCTGGATAAATCGTCGCTATACGGAAATGTCGCTATACGGGGCAAAAACCCCCCATAGGAACGCATTAAACACTGTTTAATGCGTTCCTATGGGGACAAAACTCACCGTTCTGCGAAGATTCCCCATACGGCCGCCATTTTCACCACCTCGGTAAGGGAGGAATCGGCGCGAAAACGCTGCAGGCGGCCATTTTCTTGACACGGTGGCCATTTTGGAACCGCCGATCAGCTGTTCTATAAACATCGCAATGCGGAGATCGGTAAGTGAAATGCTTACCCATCATCACAATGCGATGTTTACCCTATTTAAACATCGCAATGCGATCGCAAAAGCCGCATCGCTATGCAGATTCATCGTTAAACGGTGCGCTCGTTATGCGAGGCACCAGTGTATAGTTGTTTAAATGGTGACAGACTTTTGAGGGCGGTACATTTAGAAATGTTGCTAAACCTGATTCCACATTGCCTGATTACACAGAGATGCAGGGGTGTTACCATTTACTTAATCCATATTTTGAAGCCTCCCTCCCAAAAAACTGGCAATTCTAATTTAACTTCATCTGTGGAACAAACTACCTGTAATTTTCATCTTCTTTATTGGCATGGTTTCTTGCTTTGAATTATAGATTTTAGATCTTGTTTTGTTTGTTTGTTTCCTGGCAGGTTTGTAGAATTCTCAAGGAAATAAATTGGACTTTATAAAATAGCTCCTGCTTAGTGGAGGGAAGCAAATATTCATGCAGCATAGGAATTTATTGTCCAGCCAGCTACACACAAAGACATTTCAATTTTATGGAGTGGCACAATACATTCAATTAACAGGAGAGCTCCAGCCAGCCAAGTAAAGTAGATTTCATTCAGCAGTTGATCTCCAAGAGTATGTTTTGCACTGACAAGATAACATTGTCTTTTAGACTTGACTGATACTTCATGGAAGAAATAATAAAACAGGATGAATTAATAAATGAATACCAGGTATTACCATGCAAAATTTTTCAGCAGTTGGTTCATTCATTGGATAAAAACAATTGTCTACTCTAATGCACATATAAAGCAGAATGCCTCAAAAAGCAGTCAAAACAATTACTATTTCAGACTGGTATTGGAACAGATTGTTGTGAAGTGCCAGCTTCTAGTTGCATACTCAAAAAGAAAATTAATGTTAGCAGGTGAGGCAAACACAACCATTTTTTGAAAAAATGCCTTTATATGCGAATCGCACAAGAGAGAAAGCACATACTTAAGTGATCAAAATTACTTTTCTTTTACAATGTGTATGTGTGTGGGGGTAGGTGGGTGTTTCCAAGAGGCATTATAATTCATTTTTATAAATAGATAAAGAAAGTTGGCAAACATAAAGAGTAATTTTATTTTGCCTTTTTATTGCATTTTAAATGTTGTAAGCCGCCAAGAGACCTTCGGGTAGTGTGGGCGGCATATAAGTTAAATAAATAAATAAATAAATAATACCACCAATGACTGGCCTTTTATACTATTAATTTGATTTTCTATCTGTCTTTCAGGTAATGGGAACACTTTGCCAAATACATACTAGATGCATATCAAACTCCTCTGTCAAGCATAAAGGATCTGGGTCCAGAAAAAAGAGGCTTTCCAACTAATTCAGCTTTATTTCAGTTAAATTCAAACATGAATGAAGGGCAAGCACGTATTAGTCATTTATAATGATTTGATATTTGATATAGCCCGGTGAATTACAGGTATTTGGCTGTGGAACCAGAGTTTGGGTTTGGTTCCCTGTTGTAGCTTCTAGGAGAAGAGCCAGACTATGTAGCCTTGCACAAGATGCACAGCCCCAGGGCAACCTCAGAAAGCAGCATTGGTAAACCACCTACCTAGTATCTAGGAAATCATGAAGAGGGTCACCATAAGTCAGAATGGACTTGATGGCACAGTAATGGAACCATTTACCACATTAACTGTTGTTGCTAACGTGGTAAATGCTTCCATTACATACATTCGTTGTGTTTCACCAGCAAACTCATAGGTCCTATTAGCTGAAATCTGGTTGCAAAGTTACACAAAATGTATTTAATTTTATTGCAAACTGCTGCAAGTTAAGTAATCTCCATAAGCATTACCTGTTGCATACTGAGTTGCATGACTCAGTGTGTGTTGAAGAATGCCAATGGAGACTTCTTATGGCAATTTACCAATAGAAGTTACACCTACAGAACTGCAGCAGAATTTCAGCCACTGAGACGCAAAAAAATATAATCTATTGTTTGTGTGTTTTGTTTTGCAGTTCTTGCATGTCACTGCAATACAATACAGATACTGGCCAAAATCCTGTTGCTTAGTGTAGTAAATTGCACTAGAATAATCTCAATGAATCAGTGGAGATTTAAATCATCTCCTCCATATGTTCCATTGTTTCAAATGGCCCTACTCTAATTATGATTTGCTTAAGCACAGTAAGTCACTAGGCCCATCTCAATCAATGGAACCTATGGAGGAGCTGACTCACCAAAACCCCATTGATTCCATGGGCCCACTTTAGTGTAATTTAATATGCCAAGCAATAGGGTTTGGGCTGATAGAATCCCCATTCATTATTTAACACAGGACATAAGGTGATGTATTCTAGGCATAAAGGCAGACTTTAGAAAGTATATTTTATTATGATGATGGCTATAATAAATAAATAAATAAATAAATAAATAAATAAATAAATAAATAAATAAATTTAAAATTTTTTGTAAAAGTTGCCAAATTTGTTTTTCTTTTCTGAAAAGAAAGAAAGAAAAGCCTTTTTAATTGGAAAATTGAATTGCCTAGAGACAAACGTTTGTTATTTATTAAAAATAAATTTTCGGGAGAACAGTGAGTGCTCCAGGTTTGCCGAGTAATACTCAAAACATGGCAAATGTGTCCCTCCTGTACAGGAGAGAGCAGAAATGGACTTTCTGAGGAAAACAAAACACCCTCACCACCACCAAAACTCTATTCTGAGCTTTTATAAAATTCACATCGGCAGATCAAGAATATCAAAATTAGATAAAAGATAAAATACCAGAAATCCCTGAATACACATTTTATACAACACACAGGAAATATTCATCTCCACACACAAAGCTCAAAATGTTACAATCTCAGCAGTTACCTTCATGAGAAGCCAGCCTGTCATCCATTTGATCACCTTTGCTGCCCAACAGACATTCTGGTAGAGATCAGTAATCACCACTCCAGGATCCACAACGTTAGATGTCACAGGGCCCCCTCCTTCTGTCAGGAGATGTTGCAGTCGATAGGCAAAGAGCACAAGGGCAAGTTTACTTTGGGCATACGCTCCATGGGGTGAATAGAGGCAACTATTTGGGGGTGGGGAGGAGAGAGAAAGACAGATAGCTACCTGAATTTTCAGAAAACTGCACACTGCATGTTTCTAGACATATGCTTGATTAAATGTTTTAACATTTAAATCAAAGGGGAAGGATGGGGAAGCAGGAGAGCCCTCAAATGGACTCATTCTTTGAAGACACATACAGTACCTGCCATAGCCAAAATAGATTTCATTGAGAGATTTAGGGAAAGTGTTTCAGATAAATCCGTATGTTAGCACAAAGTGTTATGCAAACATTTCAGTAGTATGGTTCTCCCTGGGAGTGTTGTTGTGGCAAATACACAATTCACATTTAAGAAATAATAATATGAATAAGACAAATAGAAAGAATGTTAAAGAGCATCTTTTCTATACGCAGGTGGATTTTCATTATAAACCTCTCAAGCATGGGTGTATGTCAAAGGTTGTATAATTTTTGCAGTCTTTCAAACCAGCCTCTTAACAATTCAGAGAATGTCCCTTAAATATAGTATTGCATATGCAAGTGTAAAGGAAGTCACTATTACTCTAAACTGGGGTCATTACTTTTTCCGAGGACCCTGACAATAACCATTCCTTCGCAGTCACTTTAGCCTTTTCTTAGTTATCTACTCAGATTGTATAAAACACCAGTAGTAATAGGACCGTTTAATGTTGATTTTATCCTTAAAATAAGACCTAACTTGAAAATAAGCCCTAGTATGATTTTTCAGGATGCTTGTAATATGAGCCCTATCCCCAAAATAAGCCCCAGGTAACTGAAACCACGCCCTCCACCACTGCACAGCAACCAGAATATGACATGACTGTATCTGAATAACTGTTGATTGTTGTACATTTTTTTAAAATCCCCTGAAAATAAGCCCTAATGCATTTTTGGAGCAAAAATTAATATAAGACCCTGTTTTATTTTTGGGGAAACAGGGTAGTATGCATGCAGAATTATCATCATTTTTATTCTTTATGTGTATTTAATATATGCTTTTTATGACTTGACATACATGAGTGATCATCTTTTTGGCTGGACACCAAGTACTAAATGAAGGATGCTGCACGCATGGTGATTACAGTGTCAGTGAGGTTCCTTAATTATTAGCAGTCTTTTACTGTCCATCCTAAAGAATACTCGATTTTTTCAGATTTGACATAAAAAAAGGCTCACACTTCTGCAAAGCTTGGAAGTGCAGAATTCCCCAAAGAGCAGCCATGGTAGCTGGAGGAATGATAGTGAAAAATAACTTTCCAAAGCTCTGCACAGTGATAGATGCATACAAATGATCACGGTTGATGAACTGGAACAGAGAAGCAGATCTACATCCTCTAGATTTAATGGTCTAGTTTATAGGAGCGAACTGTGTTAGTTTGTGCAAGCATATCAGACAAGGCACAAAACAAATACAATTTTTTTAAAAAATGAAGACAATGGAAATGTGGCAAAAATGTTGGTTTTGCTTGTGTTCAGTTTTGTTGTTTGCCTGATAGATTTAAGGAGTTTTGTTGATTTATTTAAAAATATATTTCTGAAGTAAATTTTAAATGTGACCCACACAAAATTCTCAGTAAAACTTACCTGCAGCTTTATGTATATAATGGCTGAAATCCACTAGTCACGCAGAGAGGAGGCCGATTGAATCAATGAAATTTATACCAGAGTTGACTCACCAGGAACCAACAGATTCAACAGTCCAACTCTACTTGTAACTTACTACTGGATTTCAGCCAATAAAATATAATGTAATAAAAGGAAATTATTTCAATGTATTGCTTACCTTCTCCTCAAAGCCTTAAGACCAATCCCAACATAATATAAAACTGAAAAAGTTTAGGTTGCTACAGGAAGGCCTGGTGAGACATGGCAGTTAGACTTTTGTCTCTGGGTGGCAGTGTTTTATATAAATATCAGAGCGAAAACTAGTTGCTATTTCCTTTAACATCTAACTCTTCTTCTTCAAGAACACCTATCTACAAGGTTATCCCAATATTCTCTTCACAGTATGATCCTTTAAAGCTGTGTAGGATGAAAGATACTGATGATCCCAAAACCAACAGCTCCAGGGCTGAGACAGTGATTTTGAACTGATGATTCCTCATCCTAATCTGAACACTCTACTTACTTCATCTCATTGGCTACCAGGTGTAAAAGAAAAACAAAACCCTACTTATCCCCACTCCTTGAAACCTGAGAATCACAGAGCTGTATGGTGGGGTGGGGGAATTAAATGGCTAACCTCCTTTCCAAGGCAGGATTATTCACTCACTAACTCGTAGCTCAGTGGCTTAGGCATCTGGCTGTAGAAACAAAGGGTGGGAGTTTGAGTTTGTGCTTCCCATGAGAACAGCCAGCCTGTGAGGTCTTGGGCAAGATGCACAATCCAAGGGCACCCCCAGAACTAGGAAATGATAAACCACTTCTGAGTATTCTCCACTGGGAAAACTCTTAAAAGGTTCACCATGATTCAGAATTGACTAGATGGCACACAATTATTATTATCAGTCCAACGCAGCATAGCAAGGTCACACGAGCAAATGACCAGCAATTCACACAAGGTAAGCAAGTTAAACTGCCTGCAACCCAAAACAAGAACAGCCTGGCATTCCAAAGTTGGTAAGAAATAATTAAGGTCTACAACATAGATGTTTTAGGCACACAGAATTTTGTAAAGAGTAATAATACTAAGCAAGTGCTGAAAGCAATTTATGCTGTTTCTTGGAGCCCTTACATCCCTTGTATGGTGGGGGAATATTATTCTTCATACACTGCATATAGGGAGTTGAGTGGGTGACTAAAATCCCCCCAAGAGGCCTGCCTAAAGCACTTGTAAATGCATGAACTGAAGTGGGGGTCAAAGAATCCATAACTTAGCCTATGAACTGCTATGCTACACCAGCAACCATCTTTAAAACCAATAGTGAAAGACAGAAAATAGTCTTCCACCATCAAATTGTTTGTCCATCCAGCTGTCTGCTTTATTCTGAATGGAAGCAGCTTTCCACAAAATTTTTGCTTCGTTCTCTACCTGATCTTCTTATTTGGAGATAAGGAACTTCTGGATTCAAAGCATGTGCTCGTCAAGACTGAGCTATGGTCACATGTATTTTGCTCCCTAAGGGATTAGGATTTGCAGCTCACAGAGATTACTTTCTGTCAGGTTTTAGCATGGATTTGCACAAGAAACTGTTTTTAATACCAGACGTGGATCCTCAAATATATGAAATATGTAAAAATAAAAAGAACCACTCTTGTCAGTGTAGTGTCCAACATCACAACGTGTCCTCTCAATTCATAAAATTAGCATGTAGGTTTTGCATAAGATGGCCACAGCTTCAATCAGGCATCTCTCTTCCTACAAAACAGGGGTTAGTAGCTGTTCTGAAACTACATCAGTAGGACTTTAAAGATAGTAGAGGGGACAACAGCCTGCTCCCTAAGTTTCTGGGCCTAATTCTCAACTGTCAAACATTCATGGACAGAATTATGTTTCTGGCTGAACTATATTCTAAAGACAAGGTCCTATTTCCAAACATAATTACCATATTTTTCGCTCCATAAGACGCACCTTTCCATAAGACGCACCATTTTTAAGGAGAAGAAAACAGGAAAATATAATGTTTTCTTCACTCCATAAGACGCACAGACTTTCCACCCTCCTGTTTTGTGGGGGGAAAGTGTGTCTTATGGTGCGAAAAATATGGTAATGTCCTCTATTTGGCTGCTATCTGACTAGATAGTTTGGTGTTTTAGGAATATGGTGTGGAGCCAAATGTTGGGAGTTTGATTCTGTACTGTGCCTCTTGAGAAAAAAGCCTGTACAGCCTTGGGTTGCACATTCCTAGTACCCTAAACCTAGAAAATCCTGGTAAAGGTGGTTATAAATTGGAATCGATTTGATGGCACATCATTGTCATTTTCTGTTATAGTATGCTTTATTGTGCTCTAGATCTTGCAACTTTAAGACAGTGGTGAGAACAGAATATCATGTATTACAACATGACTCTACCAGAACTACGGTATATTTCAGTTACAGTTTATGCTGCATTTTTTTACTTCATTTTCCCCCTGCTGCTGACAAATGGACTCGCCTGAAAGGGAAAATGACACATATTGATTGACAGAACATCAGAATTATATGCCAAGTGGCTACTTGATGACATTTCTTAAATTCCTGGAGGCCTTTTCCCACCTCTGCCTTCTTGTTTGAGCTCATTCTTCAGAGTCCCATTACTAAGTAGTGCTCATGACAAACAGCTATAATTAACCTTACTTTTTGCCAACAGTCAATATTTCCTGACTGGAACAAACTACCTGTATGAGTTTTAAAACATCAACCTTCACTCCCTCACTACTTCTTTCACCACCTACTCCTTTCCACTTTCTACAGTGCTAATCTGTCTAATGGGCACAGTAATCCCTGTGGGCTGATTGCTAGGTACTATTAAAAAAAGTACTTTGTTCTACATGCTGTAACTTGGCTTTTAACAGAAGACTGGACATAACAGGTTGAATCTATTCCTTCGCTGTATGCCTCTGAAAACAAATGTAGGCAAAGGCAGGACTTAAAAATCCTTCTCGATGACGTGCTTTATGTTTGCAATGTATCATAGTTCTGAAAGTTGAAGAAAACCTATACCAACCACAGTGCTCTTTAGCTGTTTATTTAGGGATTTTTGGTTATCAGCTATGTGAGCTATGCAAATACTTTGCATAACCTCTAGTATAAGATTTACTAGAGGGGAAAATTGTACTTGAAGAAATGGTAATTTTCTTCCTTATGTGGCAAACAGACACATGTCTTTACCTAGACTTTCGTGAACGTCAAGAAAATGATCTGTTGAGGGTGGTCTGTGGCACTTTCTTGAGAGTCAAGTTTAGCTTAGGTGCAATATTAATATAAAAGAAACAAAGAAAGATTTTAAATGAACATTGGGAAACAGCACTCCAAAACACTGGTAACCAACATCCCATTTTAGATTATGAAGGACTAAAATGAA